AAGTGTGTGGTCTTATTTCTGGTTGTGTATTCTGTTCCATTGGTCTATGTGTCTGTTTTTGTACCGGTATCATGCTGTTTTGATTACTGTAGCCCTGTAGTATAGTTTGAAGTCTGGTAATGTGATGTCACCAGCTTTGATTTTTGTACTTAGGATTGCCTTGGCTATACAGGCTGTTTTTTGGGTCCATATGAATTTTAACATAGTTTTTTCTAGGTCTGTGAAGAATGTCAGTGGTAGTTTAATGGGAATAGCATTTAACCTATAAATTGCTTTGGGCAGTATGGCTATTTTCACGATACTGATTCTTTCTATCCACGAGCAAGGAATATTTTCCCATTTGTTTGTGTCATCTCTGGTTTCTTTGAGCAGTGTTTTCTAATTCTCATTGTAGAGATCTTTCACTTCCCTAGTAGCTATATTCTTGGGTATTTTATTGTTTTTGTGGCAGTGGTGAATGGGAGTTCATTCCTGATCTGGCTCTTGGCTTGACTGTTGTTGTATAGAAATGTTAGTGATTTTTGCACATTAATTTTGTTTCTTGAGACTTTGCTTAAGCTGTTTATCAGTTTAAGAAGCTTTTGGGCTGAGACTCAGGTTTTCTAGTACAGGACCATGTCATTTTTGAATAGGGATAGCTTGACTTCCTCTCATTTTTATTTGAATGCCCTTTCTTTCTTTCTCTTGCCTGGTTGCCATAGCCAGAACTTCCAATACTGTATTGAATAGGAGTAGTGAAGGAGGGTATCCTTGTCTTATGCCGGTTTTCAAGGGGAATGCTTCCAGCTTTTGTCAATTTAGCATGATGTTGGCTGTGGGTTTGCATAGATTGCTCTTATTATTTTGAGGTATGTTCCTTCAATGTCTAGTTTATTGAGACTTCTTAACATAAATGGATTTTGAATTTTATCTAATGCCTTTTCTGCAGCTATTGAGGCAATCACGTGGTTTTTATCCGTAGTTCTGTTTATGTGGTGAATAACATTTATTGATTTGCATATGTCAAACCAACCTTGCAACCTGGGGATGATGGTGCATAAGCTTTTTGATTTGCTGCTGGATTTAGTTTGCCAGGATTTTGTTGAGCATTTTTGTACTGATGCTTGTTAAGGATATTGGATGTCCTTTATTTCCTTCTCTTGCCTAATTACTCTAGCTAGGACTTCCAGTACTATATTGAATAAAAATAGTGCAAGTGGGCATTCTTGTCTTGTTACAGATTTCAGAGGAAAGGCTTTCAACTTTTTCACCATTCAGTATGATTTTAGCTGTAGACTTTTCATATATAGCTTTTATTGTGTTGAGATATGTTTCTTCTTTATACAGCTTGTTGAGAGTTTTAATCATGAAACAATGTTAAATTTTACAAAATGTTTTTTCAGCATTTGTTTAAATGATCATATGGCTTTTGCTCTTCATTTTGTTAATGTGATGTATCATGTTTGTTGATTTGTATATGTTGACCCATATTTGCATCCCTGGAATGAATCTCACTTGATCATGATAAATGTTCTTTTTAATGTATTGTTGAATTTGGCTTGCCAGTATTGTGTGGAGGATTTTTGTATCTATATTTATCAGGAATATTTGCCTGTAGTTTTCTTTTTTGTTGTATCCTTATCCTTATCTTTTTTTGCTGTATCCTTATCTTTTTTGTTGTATCCTTATTTGGTATTGCAGAAATGCTGACACTGTAGAAGGACTTTGGAAGTATTCCTTTCTCTTCAGTGTTTTGGAATTGTTTGAGTAGGATTGGTACTAGTTCTTTAAATGTTTAGTAGAATTCAGCACCAAAGTTGTCAGGTCCTGGACTTTTTTTTTTTAATGGGAGAGTTTTTATTAGTACTTCAATGTCATTACTTGTTATTGGTCTGTTCAGGTTTTCTGTTTCTTCATGGTTCAATCTTGGTAGGTTATATTTGTGCAGAAATGTATTTATTTCTTTCAGATTTTCCTATTTGTTGGCATATAGTTGTTCATAATAGTCTTTAATGATCCTTTATGTTTCTGTGGTATCAGTAGTAATGTCTCCTTTTCATTTTTGTTTTAATTTATTTGTTTCTCTCTTGTTTTGTTTTTTTGTTTGTTTGCTTGCTTTTTACTTAGCTAAAGGTTTGGTGATTTTGTTTATCTTTTCAAAAAAAAAAAAACACAAAAACAAATTTTTGAGTTTCTGGAGAGCTGAACACATAGAGGTTCCCAGAGAGTGGCATGCCCAGGGAGGGCGTGGAAGCTCTGAATCACTTCCGTCAGACCTAGCTTATGCACTTTTTCATCTGTGTCTTTTTAATATCCTTTTTAATAAATCAGTAAACATAAGTTGACCTTTGGGTGACCAAGATGGGACCTGAAGCAGGCTTCCATTGACTCCTGCTGCTTCACTGACAGCTGGCATCCTGGTATGGGCATGGACTGTTTTTGTCCAGCTGAACCTGTTGAAGGTTGCAGTAGCTATTGTAACCTTTCAGGAGGCGAAGGGGACACTTTCCCTTGGACCCTGTAGTTTTGGCACTGTGAGTAGGACACCAAAGCCATTCTGCTTGAAGCTGCAGTGAAGGGAACCCAGAATCTGACAAGTCAGCAAAAGGAAATTCATAGAAGGAATATTGACAAGTACTTGTGAATACAGATTTCTCATAACTTTCAAGATAATACCATGGGAATAGGTAAAGACTTTCAGGACTTCAGTTAAAAAGCTGATGTGGGCCTGGCGTGGTGGCTTGTGCCAGTAATCCTAGCAGTTTGGAAGGCAAAGGCTGGTGGATCGCTTGAGCCCAGGAGTTCAAGACCAGCTTGGGCAACATGGCAAAATCCTGTCTCTCCTAAAAGTAGAAAAATTAGCCAGGCACGTCGTCCCATGCCTGTAGTCCCAGCTACTCGGGAGGCAGAGGGGGGAGAATTACGTGAGCCCAGGAGGTGGAGATTGAGCTGAGGTGAGCTGAGATTGTGCCACTGTACTCCAGCCTGGACCACAGAGGGAGACTCTGTCTCAATAATAATAATAATAATAATAATAATAATAATAATAAAAAGTTGATGTTCTCATGAGGATTGCTAACCCAACATCAAGCAGAACAAAAGTTAATTACATGAGACTGAACTGATAGAAAACTGAAATGCTTTTTATGACTTTTTTGGTTGAAACATTACCAATTCTTTTTCTATTTTGTTTTCAGAGCCAAACTTTTTTTTTCTTTTTGAGGTATTTATAGCTTATAGCAATTGGGTAAAGTAGAGTTTTATGAGCAAAGTTAAAACATTTGCCTTTCTTTCAACCTGATTTCTCCAAAATTTGGAAACTATTTGAATATTCTTATTTTATGGCAATATAGATATTTTCATAAGTTCAATAAGAATCTGTTTTCCACAACATAATGACTGGAATGTCACATTTTCGGATATGACCAGACTGCCTTGAGGGAATGAAATTGGCTTTTAAGACCAATAGACTTGGAGAAAGACTGGCCTGGTACATTGTCTATATGGTTCTCTTACAAGGTTCCTGACCTTACAGTAAGAAAAGAATATCAAATTCAGACAGGCCCAGGAACCTCAGGATAATTAGGGACCTTGAGAAGACAGGAATTCACACAATTTGTGTAAGTATTACAGCAAAGTCTAATGGTGAATTCATGGCTTGGCTTCCCAGCCTCAAGAGGCTTTGAAAGTCTAATCTGAAATTTGTTACGAAAAATCTCCGGTAAAGCCAACTTACAAAGCTGTCTTTAGGGCTAATCACTATTCTTGTTGTATTTCATACAAATAAGCAGGTCAAATGTCATGTGGACACTTATTTTAGAAGTCAGTTGGTCCTACTAATATTTACCTTTGGTAAAAAATGGGGAACTGGAGAAAGAAAAACTGTTTCACAGGAAACGATATACATTTTTTATTAGATTCTAGCCCTGACCACTGTTTCTGAGTTATTATTATTTTCTTACAATTTGGACTAAGCTCTGAATTATTTCTTGGCTACAACAAATCTCTAAAGAAGAACCTGGATTTAATTTTCTTCATGATGTTTTCAGTTGGCTCCCTAATGAAACTGGTCATTTTGTTTTTTTCATTATTTCATACAAATTCTCTTTTTGTTTATAATCCTTATATATTACTTCTTCCAAGAAAACTGAAATGATGGCATTTCCAAAGACTAGAGATGATTCAACAGGTGATAAATCAAGGATCTTACTGAGGTCCCATTCTTTGCCACTCTGTGATGCCATCCTAATTTTACTTTTGAGTGCTCTTAAAATAAAAATTCCTCACTGAGACTTCTCCTCCTTCCCGCCTCAGCGTGAGACAGGACTCTCAGAAGTGAGCTTTCTGACACTCAGATTTTGATCAGTTCTTTCAAAAAGAAAGATTTTGCTCAAAAGGGAGAAATGAGAAATAAATCTTTAAATTTTTAGGCTCAGAAAAGCATTTAAAATGTAACAGCAGTCAAGTCTCACTACCGCTTGAGTGAGATAATTACCTCTTGAAGCCACCTGCTCTGTGGGCTTTAGACTAACTGACAGCAAGTAGCCATACAATGCCATACACACTATCATTGAACAATGGATAGCCAATCATTAACCAATGTCATTTTCGTAAACCAATGAGAATTGCTGATGAACAACTTTGGTAATTGCCCATTCTCCTGATTCATCCTTTGTTTTCGTTAAAAACTTGAGTCTGTTGCTTGTTCTCTGGAGCACTCCCCAAGACAACTTGGAAGCATGTCCTGGGTTACAGTCCTAAATCTTTGTGCTTGAATAAACTCTCTGTAAACTAAAACAGAAAACAAAAAAACAATGATCTTTTATATGGTTTTCTTTGGTTTCAATTTAATTTTTTTCTGCTCTAATCTTTATTATTTTTTTCCTTCTAATTATTTTGCATTGGGTTTGTTCTTGCTTTTCTAGTTCTTTGAGGTGTGTCATTGGGTTGTTTATTTGAAGTCTTTCTACCTTTTTTTTTTTAACTGTAAAATAAGTTTATTAGTGGTAACATGGTGTAATTTACTCCTGATATCTGATGTTACAAACTTTAGGGTCCTTGAGGTATGCAGCATCCTTGTATGTAACTGGCATAAGCCCTATTATTTGAGGTCTCTTAATTGCTTTTGTGATTTCTTTCTGTTTCTTCCCACAAAGACCTGTTTTGTGCCTTCCACAAATGCATCCAATAAATGGAGAAATAAACTGGGACAAAAGCTGTACATTCTTAAAATCTACATGCTTTCCACACAAGATACATTTCTTAAGGGCTTCTTTATAAGAATTTTCCATTGGAATGGACAGGTCCTCATTGGTGGATATCTGTTTATATTGTGAACAACCTCTTCTCCATAGCACCACGTGAGTCCTGGGATGTGTAAGGCTAACAGCAGCCATTACGAGGTGTGTCAACTTATTCCTCCCCAGACCACTGCAAACAGCAACTATAGTGGCCATGGTTCCACATTCCTCCACTGGTTCTACCTTTTTATGTTGGCATTTATTGCTATGAACTTCCCTCTTTGAGATGCTTTTGCTGTATCACACAGGTTTAGGTGAAATGAGTTTCTTGTAGATAGTATATAGCTGGGTCTTGTTTTTTGTTGTTGTTTGTTTGTTTGAGACAAAGTCTTGCTCTGTCACCCAGGCTGGTATGCAGTGGCATGATTTTGGCTCACTGCAACCTTTGCCTCCCAGGTTCAAGTCATTCTCTTGCCTCAGCTCCTGAGTAGCTAGGATTACAGGTGCACACCACCATGCCTGGTTAATTTTTGTATTTTTAGTAGAGATGGGATTTTACCATGTTGACCAGGCTGGTCTAGAACTCCTGACCTTGTGATCTGCCCACTTTGGCCTTCCAAAGTGCTGGGATTACACGCATGAGCCACCTTGCCTGGCCATGGGTCTTGGTTTTTATCCATTCAGTCATTCTTTGTCTTTTAACTGGATAATTTAATCCATTTATATTCAAGGTTATTATTGATAGGTAAGGGTCTATTACCACCATTTTATTTGTTTTCTGGTAGTTTTTTAGACCTTTTCTTCTTTTTTCCCTCTATTACTGTCTTCCTTCATGGTTAAGTGATTTTTTTCTAGTGGTATGTTTTGACTCTGTGCCATTTATTTATAATATATCTATTACAGGTTTTTGCTTTGTGTTTACCATGTGTACAACTTTGGCATTTCTTATAACACAGATTTGGTGATGATGAATTCCTTCTGCTTCTGTTTGTGTGGGAAAGTCTATCTTGCCTTAGTGTTTGAAGCATAGCTATGCTGGGCGCAATATGCTCGGTTGGTAGTTTTTTCCTTTAGTACTTCAAATACAGCATTCCACTCTGTCCTTGCCTGCAAGGTTTCTGCTGAGAAATCCACTGAAAGCTGTATAGAGTATCTCTTGCATTTGGTATGTTTCTTTTCTCTTGCTGCTTTGAGCATTCTTTCTTTGTCTTTGATTTTTGTAAATTTGGTGATAATGTGCCTTTAGGATTTCCTCTTTGGACTAAATTTTATTGGTAACTTCTGAGCTTCTTATACCTGGATGGTGTCATTTTTTTTCAGATTTGGAAAAATTTTAGCCATTATTTATTTAAGTATGTTTTCTAGGCCCTTTTCTCTTTTGTCTCCTTTGGGAATGTCTGTTATGTGGAAATTAGTTCACTTGATGGTGCCCCACAATTCTTGTAGGCCCTATTCATTCTTTTTTTAAATTCTTTTTTCTTTTTACTCTTCTAATTGGGTAATTGGGGTTATTTGGGCTTCATGAAACTGGATGTCTATTTCCCTTCCCAGATGTGGGAAATTTTCAGCCATTATTTCCTTAAATAAGTTTTCTACCACTTTCTCTTCCTCTTCTCTTTGTAGAAATCCCATAAAGCATATGTTGGTACCTTTAATGATGTCTCATAAGTTCTTTAAGTTCTCTTTACTTTTAAAAAATTGTTTCTTTTTTTTTTGTTCCTCTGACTGGATAATTTCAAATGATCTCTCTTTTTGCACACTGATGCTTCTTCTACCTGATCAAGTCTGCTGTTGAAGTTTCCTCTGAAATTTTTCAGTTCAGTCATTGTGTCCTTCAGCTCCAAAATTTATTTTCTTTTATGATCTCTATGTCTTTGTTGAAGTTCTCATTTTGTTCATGTATTGTTTTCATGATATCATGTGGCTTTCTTTCTGTGTTCTCTAATAGCTCACTGAGATTATTTAAGACACTTATTTTGAATTCTTTTCCAGGCAGTTCTTAGGTCTCCATTTTTTTAAAGATCAGTTACTGGTTTATTGTGTTCTTTTGGCATCATTGTATTTTCCTGATTCTTTGTGATCCTTATGGCTTTGCATTGGTGCCTGTACTTTTGAAGAAAGAGTCATCTCTTTTAATCTTTACAGGCTGACTTCAGCAGGGAAAGCCCTTCACCAGTCAGGCTGGCCAGAGATTCTGAGTAGGCTGGCTGGTGGGATCTAGACGCTGGCCAACTGCTGGGGTCAGTGGGTAAGCAGGCTTGCTGCTGGGATCCATGGGCAGGTGGCCTGCTGCTGTGCACCACGAGCATGCTGTTGAGGTCTGCATGCTGGTTGTTGAGAGCCCTCATCTATTTTTGTTGTTCTTAGCAGCCCCCAGGCAATCTAGCCTTTCTGATTTACTCAGTGTTCTGGGTGAGACATAACAGAAGTGAGCCTCTCAGGCAGTAAACCAAAAGGCTACAGAAGAGTCAGATGCTGACTGCATGCTCTCTTTCCCCCATGGGAGAACTTATGGGCCAAGGAGATCTCTCTTGGTGCTGCATTCTGCTGGCCTGGAGGAGGGTTGGTCGGGTAAAGTAAGAATATTCTTACCCTTTTCAATGTGTCTTTTCTCATTTCTGTGCCCCATCAGGGTGTTGAATACTCTCTCTTGGAGTCCAGAGCGCTCAGAAAAGTAATTTTATCTATGGATGGTTATTAAATCAGTGTTTCTGAGGGGAACAAGGGCTGGCACTTCCTGTTCTGACATCTTGCAGATGTCACTTCCAGAATTCTTTCTTAAGCAGAATTTGCCCCCTTAATTTCCCTGGAGGGCTTTTCCCAACATACACTATTGTGTTCAAAGACATTGGGAACATTTCTCCCAGTTCATAGCTTAGGTCCAAGTAACTTTTCCAGGCCTGCTTTCCTGCCAACCATTTCATGTTTCATGGGACAGTCATAGGGCAGTGGTTTCTCACCTGGGGGTGATGGCATAGTGGTTTTAACTCCCAGGGGACATTTGGCAATGTACGGAAACAGTTTTGGTTTCATGACTTGGGAGGGGATCTTACTAGCATTTAGTGGAAAGAGGCCAGGGATGCTGCTAAACATGCTACAATACACAGCTCAAAGTGTCAATCTTATTGAAGTTGAGAAACCCTACCCTATGAGTATAATTAGTAAATACACTTAGAAAGTCTCTGGGGCAATAGTGAGTCCTCAATAAATGCCAGCTATTTATAGGGATATCCCATTTTGTACCAAACTGCTTGCTGACGTTCAATTTCATATTTAACTGTGAACTGCATAGAGGCATCTGACCCTCATGTGAGCATCAGCTTCTCTTCACTAACATAGTCCTTTGTGCATACAAATCACTCCTGCATGAGAATGGAGCAGGAGAAAGAAAGGGCCAATCCCCTGATTGAGGATGAACACCCTTATCTCTGAAATTCTAAGGCTGAGTTAGAAGAAAAGAGGTTGGAGTGCATTCATGATTAACTTCGTAAATTTTAAAATTCCTACAGTTCAGTGAATTTGCATTTGGTAACAGAAAAGGCATACAATTATTCTATTTCATAAAAGAAACAGAAATGATCTTTTGTCTTGTTCATGTATAAATTTGGTTGTGACCCACAGAAGTATGAAGATATGGTTTCCACACCAACGTTAGGCCTTCTCAGGGAGCTTAGAGCGTGTTGGTGGAGAGGGAGAAGCCCAACAGAAGGAGATCTTATTCCACCTCTGCACTTCTTCAGGACTCCTGTGGAAACACGTGATCTCCAACAGTCTCTCTGGGGCTCTGCCCACCCCCAGCAGTGTCCCCCCACATCACTGCACAGTAAGAACTTTCTCATCGTGAACATAGCTTTCTCTGGAGAAGCTGGGAAGTGCTTAACTATGCTAGAAGCTGGACAATTCAGGTAGAAGTTTAAATGTTGGCCTAACCTTCAAAGGACAGAAATAGCTTCTTTTGAAAGTTCTCAAGGGTGTTTCAGAACTCTGGAACATTTTAAATCTTAAAATAACACTACAATTGTCCATTTGGTCTTGGGGGTGGCTGTGCGGTGTGGAGAGTGAAAGGGTGGAGAGTGAGTCCCTAAAATCGACTTTCCGTTTCTCCTCCACAAGGATGTGGTTGGGCTTTTTCGTCCTTGGGCTGCCAAAACCGAAAAGTGCCTTGCTCCGCTCCAGAGGAAAGTGTCCAGTGTCCTTTTAGAACCCAGTGGTTTCCCGGCTGGAAGGGGGATCGTCCCGGTGCACAGCAGAGCTGTCCCGTGTGTGATGTACTAGCTGTCCTCCTCCCAAACATTAGCAAAGCATAGTACTACGAAAACAAATGTGGCTCCCAGGGCACCACTCACAGGCTGCCACCTAGGCTTACGATCCCGGAGCTGACAGAGAGTGGGGAATGTCTGGGAATACACCGTGTCCGCCCCCTTCTCCTTCAGCTGTTACCCTTGGGCACATCACTCAGGTCTCCTAAATCATCCCATGGTTTAGGAGTCAGGCAGGGGTTCATGTGTTCTGAGCGGATTCTGAGGTGCTTTTAAAAACTGCCAATGTTAATACTGCCTTGGAAAAAAATGATGGTGTTTTAGAGCGACCCACTCACTGGGTGAATGCATTGAGTCCGCCCAGCCCCCTGCCTTCACTGACTGCACCGTGGCAGGGTGGGTGGTGGTGTCTGTCCCTCTCTCTCTGCTTCACTCCTCACTGACAGCTCCTGCCACCCTGACACTCAGGTTTCATCGTCCCATGTGCTCTGGGTCTTGTTCTGAGTCTACAAAGAAAAGGTGCCACGAGGACCGTGACAGAGTATGACTGTAATTCGGTAGAGGTCTCACCTTAAGGCCTTGTTTTACATACTGTGTGTTAACTGGGGCCACACAGAGAGGGCAACGTGAAGCATGAAGTGTTACCTGAAGGAGGGTGGCAGCGCTCTGTGTGCTGGCTGCCCCTGAGGGGGCAGAAAGGGAGGGAGACAGTAGGGAAGAAGGAAGGAAGCCACCGCCCCGTCTCAGGCCCTAGACCTGCACCAGGCTCGTCTCCTGAGGCTGAAAGTGCCCCTCTGGCTCTCAGACTCCGTGCTGCCATCTGCCTTGCTTCTCTCAGTACCACTTCCCCGGCTCTCTTCTGAATCAGATTCTCTCCTTCAAACTCCAGCTGATGCAGCCCACACATGCCAGGCCTATATGTAGATTTGTCTGTTGCCACCGTCTTCCAAGCCCTAG